GGGAGCCGACGCCCCCCTCCTGTTCCATCCCCACCCTTGCCACCCCCGTTTTGACATTTGCTATGGGGGGAGAGGAGGGACACTGGGCCTAGCCCTCCATGCTGCCCAAACTGAGAAAAGGGGTTCGCTCTTTTGTGCCTCGAGTTCGTGCCTGTGCACGGTTTGGCCCTCGTTGCAGGATTCTTTCTTTTTTCCTAAGCAAGAGAAATTCCAGTCTTCTGGAAACTCAAGGACATTTCGTTTTCTGTTTGGAGAAAGTGACACCGGTTCCCCTCCACCCCCTAGAGCTAGAAGCCTCCCCTACACCATGAGGATCCAGGTCCCTGGTTTGTCTGTCGATTTGCATCTCGTGGAATTCGAGAGAGCAACGGTCCCTGCGCCTGGGGCTTGGTCCCAGAGGCCGCCGGCTGCAGGGGACTGTGGGTTGCTGTCTTGGACGCCTTCCAGGAGCTTATCAGCTCATCCGTCACCCACCTGCAGTTCAGCGACCTTTGTAGACCGGGCAGGAATTGCAGGCATCGGCAGTCCTGTTTCGTGCCCGGCCTTTGTGTGACCTCTGTGTCCCCAAGGGGTAATGACACCTTCCCCAGTGGGACGACGCCCGCTGGTGCCTCTCGACCCGTGCTCTGTGGAAGTTCAGGGACCAGGGAATGGCTTCCCCCGGGGGCACACACTGTAGGCCACCCACCAGGGGCAGGCCTGTCCTTGGGGGAGGGGTGTGGAGGGAGGGACTGTCGCTTGTCTGGCTCCTGGTAAGCTTGGGCTACCCGGAGGACTGATGCTGCTTAAACCTTTTTGTCAGACAAGGAAATCTGAAAGGGAAAAAAAAAAGGCACACAGTTATGACTTGAACCTGGAAATGGCAACCTGGTGTATCAGTGTTTTCCCAAAATGCCAGTAGAAATGATGAACTTGTGTGTGAGTGTGTGTGTGTGTGTGAGAGAGAGAGAGAGAGAGAGAGAGAGAGACAGGCTGGAGTGTCATGATGAAATCATAGCTCATTGCAGCCTCAGCCTCCTGAGAAGCTGGGACTTCAGGTGTGAGCCACCACACCCCCTGACTTCTGTGTGTGTGTAGAGACAGGGTCTTGCTGGTCTTGAACTGGCCTCAAGCCATCCTCCCACCTTGGCCTCCCAGGGTACTGGGATTACAGGCTGAGCTTTTTATTAGTGACATATTTCATTTGTTTTATGTGTTGAATGCAAAGTGTGAGGAACATGTTATGTCTCTGACTTTATGGATTTTATGGATGTCTCTGATGTCGTGCTCAGAACAAGATTGTCGAAAGAGGTGATTTCGTGGAAAATGTTTGGATCTGTATCAAAGTGATTAAATATATGCATAAAATGCACAAGAAATCTATGCCTGGTATGTCTGGTGTGTGTGTGTGTGTGTGTGTGTGTGTGTGTGTGTGTAGATAGATTATAAAGTATCTATAAAATATATAGTATCTACAAGATCTATAGATTATACAGGCCAGGCAAGGTGACTTACACCGGTAATCCCAACACTTTGGGAGGCCAAAGTAGGAGGATTGCTTGAGGCTCAGAGTATGAGATCAGCCTGGGCAACATAAAGGGACTCTTGTGTCTATAAATAAATAAATAAGGCATTTGTAAAGGTATATTTATAAATGTATAATATGTTTAATCATAGGCTTAATATAGTCATTTATTATATATTTTGATTTTTTGTTTTTGAGTTGGAGTCTCACTCTGTCGCCCAGGCTGGAGTGTAGTGGCACACTCCCGGCCACAGCAGTCTCGACCCACTGGGCTCCGGCGATCCTTCCGCCTCAGCCTTCCAAGTAGCCGGAACTACAGGCACACACCACCACACCCAGTTAATTTTTTGATTTATTGTAGAGATGAGGTCTCGCCAAGTTGCCCGGGCTGGTCTCGAACTCCTGGACTCAGGCAGTCCTCTCACCTCGGCCTCCCAAAGTGCTAGCATCATAGGCATGAGCCACCGTGCCCAGCCGTATTATATATTTTTTAAAAGTGTTTGTTTTTTGTGGAGACAAGGTCTCACGATGTTGCCCAGGCTGGTCTCAAACTCTTGGACTCAAGCGATTCTCCCGCTTCAGCCTTCCAAAGTGCTGGGATTCCAGGCGTGAGCCATCGCACACAGCCATATATTAATCTAATGCACATGTTTATATGTCCTTACGTTTATTTTTGTTTTTTTTGAGTTGGAGTCTCTGTCGCCCAGGCTGGAGTGCAGTGGCCACTCCCGGTCACCGCAGCCTCGACCTGGGGTTCCTGCAATCCTTCCGCCTCAGCCTTCCAAGTAGCCGGAACAACAGGCCCACGCTACCACACCCGGCTATTTTATATTTTATTGTAGA